GGGAACTGTGACAGAAGGGACTTGTCGACAGGAAGTCACACACATAGCAGCGAGACACTGCAGTGAACTAAATGCAGAAACATGCCAATAAGTGACACTACTTGCTATGTTTTCCTCGGAATCAGCTCAAATGAAACTAAAATTGTTTATTCCCAAACTGGCCGAATGTTGACTGGTAAATTTGGGAAACCTCTACTAAATGCAGAAGAAAATGCATGAGGTGTTGAACTCTACATTAAATGTGAATAAGAACAGAGTTATTATTATTCCAACTTCTACTTCTGTCCCTTTTATTAATCCCTGCTGAACTGACTGAAGCTCTTCACACTCTGTGGTCACAAGAGAGTGTAGTGATGGCGGCACAGACATTTGGCAAACCTTTACAAACTCCAAGCCTAGAATTGACTAAATATGCCTTGCTGCCATGCTTTGATAAGCAGAATCCTCAATTAGGCTTGATGAAATGCAAACAAGACCTGGAATCTGTGAGGCAGGAAATCCAGGAATGTGGTCCAGTTGAGCCTCTTTTTCCTAAGTTTCTTTGTGCAGACTAAACAAAGAAGATTGCAGGTATTGTGTATCGCCAATAAGCTGAAGCCAGAACCGAGCCCAGTCGAGCAGTGACGGATGGTAAAATGGTTGTCTGAAAAAAGAAAAAGTTGAGCCAGAGGTGCACTTGAGTGCACGCTGATTTTATGTTCTGAAATAGTGCGTCTACTACGTGGCTAATGCCTCATCTAATGAGGCACGGCAGTCGGATTGTGGAGCCACATTATGCATGCATTAACCACAACACCCCACAAGCCTCCACAGTAGTTCAGGTTAAATGCATCAGGTGCATCATCAGCCAGTCGGAGTGAATCTTCCAGGCTTCTGCCTTCTGCTGTTTACTGTGTTCCTAAATTTCAATGTGCCACATAATTTCTTGGCCACATGCACACACACACACGCACACACACGCACACACACACACACACACGCATACACACACACGCACATGCACACACACACGCACACACACATGTAATGCCCATTGATCAGAGCAGTTTTATCTGTGCAGTTGTCTGTGAGTGACAGTCAAGATTCAGATTAACACAAAAAACTGAGTAACTGGCAATGGCAGTTAGGTGATAGAAAAAAAAAAAACAATCAACATAACACATTTTTTAAGAGGCTGGTGGTGAGAAATCACATTTATAAAAGGTGAAATTATGATGACAGTTATCCTTCAATAGTTTAATTACATTAAAGCCAAATATGTAAATTACTACTTATGATAAAAGGTTTATTTTATGTTTTATCTTACCTGTGCGATGTTCAACAGGCACCAATTATTATTATTTTATTTTTTTGTGTCTTGCTGTTGTGAGCAAAACGGAAATACAAAATCAGAGTGCAGACAGACAATGCCTCAGCATGAGGAGAGACAAAAAGACGGCACGACAACAAAGAGAGAAAACTCTACAAGTAGAAAAACTCAAAAAGTCAAACTGAGAATGCTCATGAATATCTTTCACTTTATGTGAACTAAAACCGAACCTGTGACAAACACTGGTAAGGCTCAATCGGGTCCAGTAAGTAAGGCACAGAAATAGCAGCAGTCAGTCAACAGTTGCAGCCTGCACTGCCTGGGATTTTTGTAATAATCCAAAGGGGCCTGGCAGTAACAGGTCAAAGTCGGGTTAAATGTCATTTAACAATAGTTTTCAAACGTGGCACAAACACCGTCAGGCCTTTTAGTGTCAGGCCATTTGTCTCTGAGATTTCTGCAAGGTAAATTCAGGGAAAGGTGTGAATGACGTCATCTGCATTAGCTGGAAAATGATAACCAGGAAGGGATTTCTGTATTCTGACACACTAAAGACGGCAAGCCGCAAAATTATTCATAGCTATTGAATATTGTTCCACAAACAATAAGGCATTTCTTTGAATTTTATGTGAGAGACCAGCACAGTGTTACTGCAAAGCTGTGAAGAGGAAGAAAGAGGACGCATGGTTTTAAAAATCTTTCTCAAAAGTCTTTAAAGTGTGGTACGCTTTTGGAATTTAGCCAGATTTACTCCAACACCTCCAAATAAAACTAAGAACAACCTTTTTGTCCTCAGAAGGCACCTAATTAGTAAAAAAAAAGGAAGGTTAATTTGTGTGTAAATTAATCTCAGAATTAATCCAGCTGTCCGCTGAAGGCCTCAGAGGTTTATTAGAGAACATTAGATAACAAAAAGCATCAGGAAGAGAGAGGAAAACAGCGGTTGTGGATGAGATTGAAGCAAGGCTGGGTTAGAAAAAAAATCTGATTTGAGCACCTCATGCACCACTGTTCAATCTATCATCTGCAAATGAAGATTGATTAAGACAGTGGCTCCCAATCCTGGTCTTTAGGGACCACTGTCCTGAAGGCGTCTCCTAGCTGCCTCACACCTGACTTAAATAACTGGACATTTAACCAACTTCTGCAGCACTTGACGCCATGAATCATTAGAATCAAATGTGCTGAAATAGAGACTTATATAAAACATGCAGGACAGTGTTGCCTGAGGAGAGGAGGGTTGGGAATCAGTGTACGAAGACATGGCTTTCCATCAAAACTGATATTAATCACGGATGCAGCCAAAAAGGCCTATGGTAACTTTGGAGGAGCTGCAGAAATTCACACAGATGGGGAAACTCTGTACCAATGAGTTGACAGGAAAGCAATTAAGCATTTAATAGAAGATAGGTAAGAAGAAAGCAGTCGTTGAAAGAGTAAGAAAATGCTCTTTTGGTGTGAACATACAGCTGGAGCTAAAAATGAAATGGTTTAGATAACAGTCAATCAGAATTCAGACCTAAACCTACTTGAGAATCTGTGGTAAGGCTTGAAAATTGATATTTACACATCCCCACCATCAAATCTGGAAATGCATGCGACATTTTTGTCATTCAAATTTGCGGTCTGCATGGCTTGTAGCGACATACCCCAACAGACAGAACCAGAACTGCAGCAAAAGGTGATTATACAAAGCATGGGTGTATCTGAATAAAAATGCATCCCATACATTTCAGATTCTTACTTCAAAATAATTTGAAAACAATTCACCGCCACCACTTTGTGTTGGCCTGTCACATAAAACCCCACAGGCGGCAGAAACATGAAAAGGTTACTTTAAATATGAAAGTATGTCTTTTAACTTAAAGACGCATAAAATCAAAATCAAGCAGATATTGTGTTATTTGATGTTCTTCATTTTGGTCTTGATGACAGACAAGCTGGGGAGGCTGCACTCTTATTCTGAAGTTCCTGCCAGCATTGTTGAGGTAGCAGAAACGACCAATGAAAATTAAATATAAACCGACGCAGATTTAAGACTCCGTTCTGCACAATCCGCAGTTCTCGGCGACGTTAATGACAAACTTTGAATCAAATAATTTTTGATTTCCAATCAGGTATAATAGGAAGAACTGACATCATGACAGAGTATCTAATTTGCATGTGTAATGAGTCAGATCTCAATTAATTGGCACTTGAAAATGAATGTTTTTCCTTGGTGTGATTCCACCTAAGCTAAGTACTCTGTGTGGCACACAGAATGCATGAGCGGCTTGACATTAACAAGAAAAGCATTTAATCTTTTTCAGCGATCCTAATCTCTAATGGGCACCCGCAGCCAACATTATCGGGATGCAGCCGGACGTGTGGAAGCCCCCGTCTCCTCTTATCTTGTCATGATCTAAACAATTATAATGTCTGCATGCGTCTCAGCGACGTTGAACCCACTGAGAGACGAGAGAGGTGCTCTAAATAAAAGTCATTCAATGCGGTGCATGCAAACAGGAGAAAACATGAAATTCAAACAACAGCACTGATTAAATTGATATTTTTTTGTATAAAAGACCAACAAGTTTTTTTTTTACTTTTCTTTACCAGCCGAGCTCAGATTTTAGGCTTCGGTCGTAAACAACTTATTTATAGAAAGTTGAATGTGTTCGCAGGACGAAGAATCCAAATCCGTGAAGTGTGAACTATTCTGGACAGCTTTGTTTCCATCTGATCATCAGCTAAGACAAATGGATTCTCCAAACCTGTCATGCTCACCTAAAGATTTAAATCATTACTTCAATTTTACTTAAGCTCTGATTTAGTACTGAGAACTAAAGTGTTTAAAAATTCATGTGTGATATTTGCAGCAGCCCAGGACAGTCCAGTCAATACTTTGAAGAGCCTTTGTCTGGATCTGGTCCAAGGCAGAGATAACGGACCTGACCCAATGATGTCATCCACATAGAAAACACTTTTCCTGCTCTATGATTTAATAAACCTCTTTGACTTTATGTCTCGGTAGCTTACCTTGAACCGAGAGTGAATTATTTTGCTGCATTCTTTTGGTTTGAAAAAAACATCTCTGTCTCTCTCTCTCTCTCTCTCTTTCTCTCTCTCTCTCTATCGCTCTCTCTCTCACACACACACACACACACACACACACACTTTTCCCTTTGTTCTTGTATTTTAATAACTATCCAACATTTATGTACACAAGCAAATTTTTGTACCTCAAATACAAATCCCTTTAGCAAAAAGAACAAAATTTCAGAGTAATAATGTACATCTTAGTCAAAGATCAATTTTTATTTTTATTTTTTTTTGTGCTATTTTATGTATGAAATTTTGGAAATATAGATCTGCTAAGCTTACTGTTGTTCTCTAAAATAAGTTGCTCACAATATTGCACAAAATTTAAAATAAAAAATATTATCCTGAGGCTGCATTTCTAATTACTAAATAGACTGAAAAAGTATTCATGCCCTTGAAAGCCCCTGCGTGCCAAACCATAAACTCCAAAGTATTTCATTGAGATTTTTTGTGACAAATAGAGGAGACGTGGTTGCAGTGTATTTAGGGACAGCAGAGTGAAGGGGTCTGAATATAAAACGCATGTGCATGAAAATGCGACACCTGAAAATAATGGAAGAGGAAAATGTGTGTAATGGACTCATGCAATTAAATGATAAATGCTCCTTACCCTGAGAAAAGACATTGAGCAAAAGTCCAATGATCATCATCCTGTCCGGTGACATTGGGGGACAGCTGCGGAATGGGGAAGCGGGTACCCGGCTCGCTGAAGCTCAGTTGCCCGTCTCCTGCTTCATCCAGCCTCCTTCTGCACTCCTCTGCTGCTCCCGCTGCTGTGTCCGCTCGGACTGAAGTGTTCCGGACGGTCTGCTGCACAAAGTTGGCAAAACTGAACAGAAGTGACTCAAGCTCTCGCGATTTTTGTCGCTCCCCTCATTTTTATGATTCGTACGGAACAAGGTAAACATTCAGCGGGTTTCCTGTGAATTGCTTGAAAAGTGGAAAAGATTCTCTGCCGTGTAAAGACTCCCCAGCAAAGGCAAACGCACCTGTCTCCAAAGCGCGTTGCCTTTTACGCTTCTGCGTGGGATTCCACGCGCAGCTCAGCTCCACGGTTGTCCGCGCGGACGTTGAGTGCGGCGAAGCCCCAACCTGATTGGCCCCCGAACAGGCTGGACGTACCAATGGGGAAGACAAAACGTTTCCTGTTGAAGGAACAGCTGGGTCTTTGCGGTCAAGTTGTAACTTCGTGGAAAGCAGGAGGTGGACAGTAGGAAGTAACTGAAAGGAGGCGATTTTTAATCTTTTAATGCCACGGTTAAGCTTCAATTGAAAACGTAGAAAACAAAAAAGTTCTCTAATCACAATAACAAATTTCTGAAAATGATTTACATAACTTCCAACAATGAACAGTACTGGGTTCGTTTAAGACTGTTCTTTTGAATTAATCAGGATAAAGAGGTATAGCCAATGCCAAGAAAGAACTATTACGCAACAATAAAACCACTTAAAAACAGACACTGTTGTTCTTGTTAAGACATTTTTTTTGAACAGCACTGAATCCCACTCATCCTCGTTGCTGCTGTTAAATTATTACAGATTCAGTTTTTGGTCAAAGTAAATCAGAAGTGATGTCGGATCAAAATTTCTAGTTCTGTCAGCTAAGTAAATCTCTTGAATTTCTGTTGGTTTTGATTCCCCCTCTCAATATTATTACTCGACTCCATCTGGCCACTTTTTGAAAAAGTTCAACCCCCACAGCAGAAGTGTCCATAAGGCAGGGACAGTTTAAATGGTTGCACTTAGAGTCAGTGTTTTATGGGTATAATTGTGGAACTGCGACACAGAGGCAATCAGCAGAAATGATTAGTGACACTAAACTGTGACTGTTAAAATAACTGTCAAGTTGTATTTCACCATTTATTATTAAAACTAGCATATCCGTTAGTTCTATTAAATCCTAGATGATTTCTATTTCTTCTTAACTGTTTATGGACAGAAGCATTTTCAACAATATTTTTCATTTTTCATAAACTACTCATTTGAAGTTGAGAAAGTTTCATTCCGTTTGCAAACGTGAGAGCTCTTGGGGGCCCTCTGCTGGTTTAGGAGCCCGAAGGAACAGTATTGTTTGTGCATATATCCTAATTTCTGGTTTTAGATTGTATGACAAACAATCTTGAAAATATAAAATTAAATGAAGTAGGTTCCAATCTCTTCAATGAAGAGTCATACTTAGAGTGTTTCCCACTTTTATCCTTCTGTAATTGTACTGAGAGACTATTAAAGATACACTGCGCCTAACCATGTAATTGAAAGGTATTTACCCTGAGAGAAGAATCACTTTAAATGTGATTACTCACCTTTGACCCTGAAGAGGTATTTTGCCTCTTTGTGTCTGGCCTGCTGTACAGGTAAAAAGCTCAACATAATTTCCTTCTTTGTCATGAGAAGCAATTCAGCTCTCCTCATATTTTTTATGTGTACATTGATGAAGAAATGACTCATTTGAAAAGCTTAGCTTCAAAAATAATAAAGTCAATAAAAGTACGGCTTATGCTGAAATTAACTTGTCAAAGTTCATAAAATGACTCATCTTACAGCATGAAAACATTGAATACCTGTGGCTGCTTCTCGCCAAGACAGAACAAAACCAATTTCCAGCTGGTGCCTGAAGTTCCAAATGTTGTGTACATTTGTTTTAAACTTCACTAACAACTTAACCTTAATAGTTATACAAAATCCAGTAGGGAATTTAACACATAGTACAATGTCAGAATAAAAAAATAAAATAAAACACCAAACAGGATCACAATCATCATAATACAAGGCCATTGTACACACACAAACAAATAAAGGAAAAGAAAATTGAAAAAACAAAAGTAAAATAATAAATTTAAGTCATAGAACAGAAGACAAACATCTCTACAGTTGGAATGCAATTAAAAAGGTATCCTGGAAAGGGGGAATAGATGAAGCACAAGTGCAATTTCACGCACAAAAAAAGGCATTGAGGAAATGTGTCCCACAGGTACTGGGCAGCAGGACAGAATGTCCAGCTCTGGATCCAGGATCACAAGCTGGACTCGACTGACCCGGGTGGAACTAGTGGGGGGAACTTTAGTCCACCGAATATTTAGGTTCATGCTCACTCAGTGTCTTGTTGTCCAAACACATTCTGATTTGTAAATTATGTTCTGCACATCTCAGCAAGAAATGCTGTGTGACATGGTCCTTTCTCATGCTGACTACAGTTTCATGTTCAGCAGCAGGTGTTTTGTTAGACTAATGCCTGCAGTCCAAAATGTGCAAATCTGAAGCAGTAGTGTTCTTCCAAACATATATTTGCATGATTCATATCAGAATATGAGACAGGTGTCATCTTGGGTTTTCTTTAAATGGCTTTCCTTTGCATTTTTGTTTTTTTACATTTAAGATGTTAAATTTGGTCATTGATGATCCTAACAAAAAGGAGGGATTCACAGACATTTAAAAATGAGTTCTTCCATACGGAGTGAGATTTGAATTCTGCTAAATGTAAGATTTCAACTATTTGTTGACATCTGCTGTCAATTAAAAGGAAGTACAAGCTGGCAAATACTGAATCCGTAGTTCCAAAGTTTGGTAATGGTAGTAAATAATTTGAATACCCTAACAATAAAAAAAATGTGCACAGCTGTCTAAAATCTGATTATAATTGATAGATGTGTTTTGCAGTCATTTCTTTTTAGTTGTGATCATCCTGTGCTAGGTTTAGTTAGTTTAGAGAGTTAGTTTAGTTTAGCTTGCATGTGGTGTTATCTCCTGGGATTCTGGCTTTCTCGCACAGTACAAATTGGCTAATCTAGATGTCCCTTAGATGCGAGTGCACTGCCAAGGTTGTGTGTCTCAGAGTTGCCATGTGATGGACTGGTGATCTGTCCAGACATGCACACCAGTCTGCATCTACACCTGGATGGATGGATCATGAATGATGATAAGACTCAGTGAACCAAGAGTCCTATCGTCTTGGTTCACTGATAGCAAGTTATCTTTTGCTTCCCCCTGGTGGACAAATGCATAAATGGCATGTGTTTCATTAGGTTTCTCATCAGCAGCCCAAGATGCTGCATTTAGCAGGTTTACTCTGTAACTTGCAGTGTACGTAGAGGAGGCGGAAGGCAGAGGGAGTCTCCAAACTTACATGAAATCAAATTGAAAGAAGTGTTTCCTTGGTGTAATCTAATTAGTAAATTGTTTGGGAAAATAATGTTTTTTTTCTTCTTCATAGAAATGACATAGGAAAGCCATACATAGCCTACTTTGGTGGAGAATTAAATTGCAACAAACCCATACATTAGCTAGGCAATGCTATATGACTGATTCTGCATGGATAATTGGGTATTGATGGATGGATGGATGGATGGATGGATGGATGGATGGATGGATGGATGGATGGATGGATGGATGGATGGATGGTTGGATGGATGGATGGATATTAAGGTTGCTTACTAATGTAAAGACAGTCAAACAAAAGGCATTCAGAATTACATTAGGTGAGTCTAATGTCCACAATTTCAAATATTTTGGACAACAGCCATTTTTATAAACATTTTTTAGAACACTTTTGAAAAATATATAACATCCTGCCCTGATAAACAATTAGAAAACTATACATATTTGTAATGCCTATAACTGTGTGCTTTGTAAGGTGGGATTTTTTTTTTCATGTTGTTTGTGACTGTTAATTGCTTGCATATGCCTAGACTTGTGACTTGCTCTTAGAATTCTGGGTTTTGCAAGATATTATTGTAATGTAATGTTTATAAAACATGTGCAACACCCAATTATTTAATAAGAGAAAAAAATATATATATTTAGGCTTTCTCAGTTTATTTTTATGATTGTTTAAAAACTATGTTAAATTCTCAGAAGAACAAAAACAACAACTGTGCTCATAATGTCATTATCGCTGTGTTTTAAAAAGAGTAGTGCTACTAGTGCATCTTAATGAACTTATATCTTGACTAGTCAGAAGTTACAGAGTGGTTTATCCAAGTATATTTATGAAAAGTTGTGTAGAAGGACATAATGTCCTTCACAATGTCAATTCAAGAGCATTTTCACAAGATATGTATAGACAAAGACACACAGATGTTTGCAGGCTATCAGAAGCTTCTTAGCTGGGTTAAGGAGAAAGGTGAGTCCAAAGTTCTCCATTTCTGTTAAACTATTTCTTTTTCAATATCATTTAAACTTCAGGGTCCCAGAGTCTGGAGGAAGGTGACCTTTTTACACATAATTAGTGAGCCATGTCATATGCCGTTGGTCCACTGCGGTATATGGCCTTTACTTGTATAGCACTTCATTAAGACTAGAGAACCCCAAACCACTTCACACAACATTCCCACATTCAGGGGGAAAGTATTTTCCTCAAGGACACAACAACAGGGATTAAACCAGCAACTCACTGATTACAGGACAAACTCCTACCACTACTGCCTTTATGTTTTATTGAGTACAGTCAACACAGCCATCTACTAAAAACCTTTTGAGCACTATTATGTATGTAGGGCTTTTTTTTTTTTTTTTGGTGTGGGGGCAGCACTTTACTTTCCTATGGAGCTTAATATGGGATAATCAAAATTATCGGCAATAACTGAAATATGTCACTTTATAAGTTACTAATCTACTTTATGTTTGACTTTTCCTTTTTGAATAATTTACTAAATTAACTTAATTGTTCAATAATTGCTATTCTAATTTGTTGAATAGTACCTGCAGTTAATCATAGACAGTTTGAATGTTTATATAGTTTCTACTCAATACAGATTTTATCTGTCAGGTAAGCTTGTTCTCAGGGTGACACTGAACCGGAAACCAGACAAGAACAAGAGAATCCACGCAGAGGTTCTTCCTGCTCTGTGTCCAAATCAAGTGAGTCACTTCACGTGAATTTACTTTCCTGGGAAAAAAGTACAGCACGCTAGCCTACGTCATTCAAATATAGACATTCTATTGGTACAAACCATCATGACGTTGAAGGCTTGGCCAATGGTTTACTGTTCGAGTTCCCGTGCAGTATCGCGAGCTATCTGGTTCGATAAATCCTCTACGCGGCTTCAAAATCGGCCATTTCGTCGGTGCAGGCCATCAGCCGTTAAGGGCAGCTGGGAAACATCGTTTAATACTGGTTACCTGAAAGGCACATCAAGAACATCGCAACATGAGTGAACAAGCTATTTCATTTGCTAAGGATTTCTTGGCTGGCGGTATCTCCGCTGCCATTTCCAAAACAGCCGTCGCCCCAATCGAA